GGATAAAACATTCCACTCTCCTGAGACTGCAGCTCCTGGCCCGGTCAGAGTTCAGGCTCAGCGACGTGATGAGGGAATCACTTTCGAGAGACTCTTTGCTGCCGGTCCTGACTGAGCCCCACCTCTTAGCGCTGAACCGCAGGTTAAACAAGGTCCTCCTAATGGTCCAGCGCTGCGTCCGGAGRCTGGGCAAGGACGTGGTGATTACCAAAGACTTTATAAAACCCACAGAGAAACCTCGGACGAGCTCAGATCTAGAAATGTTCAGGTAACAGCTCAGGCACGAAGTGACTCAGACCACCAGGATCACCAGCAGAGAGGAGACAGCTGTCATGCACTGGATGAATCCAATTTATTCTGCTTTACATGCTGACTGTGTAGAGATATTTTTTAAATAAAGTTATTTTGTAACATGAAGCGTGTATAAAAAAACTGTTTTTAAGTGTGAGTGGGAAAAGACTATTTGTTAAAGGCTGGTCTGGTGCACTCCACCCTGTTTTCCAGACTCATAATCCTGTTTCATCAAAGTGTAAAYGACTTTACGATATGGAGGTTGAGTCAGTGGAGACAAGCTGAGACTGAAAATTTCCAACAATTATAAGGCTTTTCATTGTGCAAACACTCATYCTAAATGACAAAAACTCATGTTGCTATAAATCTGAGTGGACTTCCTGTGGACTCTGAAGGTTTTGCCCTATTTATTGAATTGGTTTGACTTATTATACATGACAGGTTAGATTTCTGTGACATAATGAAGTCTGTCTGAAACATAGGTTACAGTCTAGAACAGAGGAATACAGTATTTGCCAAGTGCAAACCAACAAACAGTGCTGAATGTTTCCCCCTACTGCCCATATGTGGAACTGCATCCAGCAGGTTCTGTTTCTACATCTTGGCTGTTGATCCTTTAATAAAATAAACCATTAGTTATATTTCAGGATTTCTGATCATTATCACCCTCTACCAAAGAAAAACACTTAACTGGCTGTAACACATTTAGTTTGAAAGATTTAAAGCTAAAATTTGATGTGGAGGTGGTCACAACACACTCTGGGGCCTGTTTCACAAAACTTGGATAAGAGATAAAGGTGAGGTTTTCGTGTTTTCCTRGAAAAATGAATCCTCCATTCGGAGGAGGCACATTTATTTCCATGGTAACTAGTTCTCTGAAACTTGGTCCCAACCAGGTTTAAATACTAAATCAGTTGTTTCTAAGCATTGGGCAGTCACTTTGATCAGAAAACAGTGTTTCATACAATTATTCAATGTTCTTCTGTACAAATCTTCCTCTTTCAATTTTACTTTGCATTAAAATAAATACAGGAATATCAAGTTATACAGATTGTCTGTAAAAAATACTTTGGCTTCATAATTATTTTCCTTTTCAGAACCTGTAAGGAAATCCCATTGATGTTTGAGTTACCAATTACTGCTTTTTACAAGTTGAAGGCTTGTTAATCTGTGGTTTACAGCCAACATCCTCCTGGCTGTATACAGGTGCTGGTCAGAAAACTAGAATATCATGAAAAAGTTGATTTATTTCCATAATTACATCCAAAACGTGAAACTTTTTGAATATAAGCTAATGAAAATTCATTCATTACACACATATTGGTGTATTTAAGATGTCATTTATTTTAATTTTGATTATTATACCTGACAACCAACGGAAAAAAAAAAACTAATTCAGTATATGAGACAATTTGAATATTGTGAAAAGGTTTAACATTGAAGACACCTGGTGTCACACTCTAATCAGCTATTTAACTCAAAACACCTGCGAAGGCCTTTAAATGATCTCAGTCTAGTTCTATAGGCTACACAATCATGGGGAAGACTGCTGACTTGACAGTTGTCCAAAAGATGACCATTGACACCTTGCACAAGGAGGGCAAGATACCAAAGGTCAAGAGTTCTGAGTTTAAGCGTGTTCATACAGAGGTGAAGGGAAGGAAAAGATGTAGAAAAAAGTGTACAAGCAGCAGGGATAAACAAACCCCATCCAACAATGTGGAGGAGATGAAAGAGAGGACTGCAGCTGGAGTCAGCTTCAAGAAGCACCACACACAGACGTATGAAGACATGGGTTTCAGC